ATGTATGTGTGTGTGTGTGTGTGTGTGTGTGTGAATGAAAGCTCCCATATCCCGTATGAACATGATTACCATCTAGAAAGCACACTCATGTGTTGAGATTTTTCAAATCACATGATCATACTGTATGTTCTAAAAAAGGACTCATGAGGTTTTTGAAGAACAGTGAGCACATTGCAGAACTCCATCACCAATACGTCCAGATAAGGTTATGCAATACAGTGATTACTTTATGCACAGTGTTTTGCAGTAAACGACTCCATAAACCTGGCATTCATTAGTACATACATTAGCTATAGAACAGTGAACCATTTACACTGTGTTTAGAGAGTCATGAAGTTGGAAATCAATCAAGTCCCACATGAAATTATCTATGTTGACGAGACTGGCTTCAACTTGGCGAAAAGGCATCGCCGTAGGAGAAACATAATAGGCCAAAGGGCCATCGTTACCATGCCGTGCCAGAGAAGAAGTCGGGCAAATGCAGAAGACCAGGCAGAATAGAAAATTACTTTGTTTTTTTATTATAATTGCGATGGTTTTTCTGTTTGTATATCTTGCAGTGATGTCCTTTTGCAAATATAAAAAATTCTGTGTCTGTATTTTTTTACATCAACTGTAGATTTTATAAAGCAATTTATTTATTTATTTTTGTATTGAATTTTTGCAGTAAAAGAAAGAAAATGCCAGAAAACAAAATAGAAATGTAGAGAGTCTTAAAATATAAGGGCAGAGCTGACACATAAACTAATGCAGTTTCTGTAATGTCAGCTGATGATAGTGTTTTTATTGTCAGTGTTTTCTGATTGACTGAATGTTTCTGTTGAAAGAGAACATGTGTTTGTGTTTTGAAAAATTATGTCATTTTGGAAAATGTTTGTAGTGTTTTGTTAGACATGGTGTAGTGTGTTAGTTTATTATTGTATTTTGAAAAAGAGTTTATAGGTTTAGTTTACAATGTTTGATTTTGAGCATGAAATTAACTGTTTTGCCAATTGTGTGTTTTAGGTGTGTTGCTGCGTTAACAGTTTAGCAAACTTGTTAAATGTTTTGGAAAAACTGTCATAGCCATTGTAAAAAACTGTAACGTTAAATTTAACATTTAATACATTGAAATTGTTCTTGAACACACACGACAGAGACGGAGAGATTTTATCCATTGCGTGAATAATAGCAAAGATGACTCCCATCCCATGACCAGTGAGATTCCCGATGAAAATGTCATCCTCTGATTTACTTTGCATTTATTGTGTTTTGAATGCAAATGCCACTTCATTTAGAGAAAAATAAATAGTGTTGACTTTTTTTTACGTTTTTCAATGTTTTAGACACGCACCCCCCCAAGTTTGATAAACTTTTTTTCATCTTTAAAATGTCTGCCTAACGTTAACATCTGCTATCAGTGTCTACTGTGTATGCTTTGTCATGCTTTCATGAGCTCTAGGTTAGATTACTGTAATTATCCATGTGTCCTGCAGACCTGATTACCAAACTCCAGCTGTTCAGATGCAGCTGCTAGAACCCAGAGATATGATCATATTAGACCGGCTCTGTCAGCACTGCACTGGCTATTAAATATCGTATGCATGTTAAAATCTTACTGACTCCTTACTAAGCCCTGAGCAGCTCAGCTCTCTGGTATTTGAGTAGCTGCTGGTGGATTGCAGCCCCTCAGGGCCACTGTGCTCAATTATTCTGAACAATCGATTATTCCTAGAACAGCAGACTGGACTGCAGGCGCTGGAACTGAACTCAGGTGTGATAAACCACAGTTCAGTTCTGTTTTAAGAGGGGGGCAAACACTTATTCACACAGCGCTCTGTGCTGTTGTATTTTGTTTTCCCTAACGATATAAAACAGCAGGATGTGTTCACTTGTGTTAAAACTGACTAATACTAAAATTCACACTCTCAAAAGAAATAAAATCAGTACAACTGTGTGTATTGATGTGTGTGAGTGAGTTAACGTGTGTGTGTGAGAGAATGTGTGTGTGTTCTATATGCTCTTCTCCATCACCTCATACTGCAGTCCAGCTCCGAGAGCATCCAGATCCAGATGGAGATTCTTCAGCAATCCGGCTGAATCCTGAGGCCTCTAAACACACAGACACACACACACACACACAGACACACACACACTCACACAGACACACACACACTCACACACACAAACACAAACACAGAGAGATTTACCCAGCATTTAGTGTAATGCTAACACATTACCCAGTGTGTATATATATGTGTGTGTGTGTGTGTGTGTGTGTGTGTGTGTGTGTGTGTGTGTGTGTGTGTGTGTGTGTGAGAGACCGACCTCTTCCTCTGAAATGTCCTCCTCTTCCTCATCTTGAACACTCCTGACAGCAGCGGCACTTAACACGGGAGCCTGATGACAGAAACACACTCTACATCACTGAAGAACACACTAATAAAGCATATGTGTGTGTGTGTGTGTGTGTGTGTCTCACCCCAATAGCTGCTCTGATTGGCTGCAGGCCAGAGGACAGACCCAGAGGAGCACGGAGAGGAGCAACAGCAGAGTCAGAGAGACCGCGGAGAGGAGCCAGTGGAGCCAACACCTGCACGCGCGCACACGCACACACACACACACACACACACACACACACACACACACACACACACACACACACACACACAATTAGGTAAAAATAAATGCATATTACAAGACAATGAAAGTGTTTTTTGACCTTGTGTGCATATAATGTGTGTGTGTGTTTGTGTATGTATATATGTGTCTATGTCTATGTGTGTGTATATATATATATATATGTGTATGTCTATGTATATGTGTGGTGTGTATGTGTATATAAGTGTGTGTATGTGTGAGTATGTTTGAGTATTTGTGTGTATGTATACGTGTGTGTCTATGTGTGTATGTATATGTGTGTATGTATATGTGTGTGTGTGTCTGTGTGTGTGTCTATGTGTGTGTCTATGTATATGTGTGTATGTCTATGTGTCTATGTGTTAGTTTGTATGTGTGTATGTATACGCGTTTGTGTGTGTGTGTGTGTATGTTTTTGCGTGTTTGTTTCTGTCTAGTTTGTTTATGTTTGTATGTTTGTTTGTGTGTGCTCATTTGTGTTTGTCTGTGTGTGTGTATGTATACGTGTGTGTCTGTATATGTGTGTGTGTATGTATACGTGTGTGTATGTGTGTGCATATGTGTGTGTGTGTGTGGGTGTGTCTGTTTGTATATGTGTGTATGTATACGTGTGTGTGTGTGTGTGTGTCTGTATATGCCTGTATGTATGTATGTATATATATTTGTGTGTGTGTGCGCATGTGTTTGTGTGTTGACTCACTCCCGCAGCTCTGGCTCCCTCAGCCTCTCTCTTCTT